AGGTACTTAACAGTAACAGCAACATATAGTACACCAGGGAGTGTGGTGGCTCCATGGGATAAGCACTGGACTGTGAATGACAAGTCAATGGTATGAGCCTGCCAGCCACTCTGCAGGATAAAGAAGAATATTTCTCTTCCTGTAAATGATTTAAAAAGTTTCAGAAATCCTATACAGGTTTACTGTGAGTCAAAATTGACTCCATGGCACTTAACAACAACAATATGGTATACCTAGATTCTATTCCGGACCCATGCATCTCATGTACACCAACCATGTGTCTGTCAGTGGAATCTTTCATGTTGTAATGATGCTGAATATATTTCAGTGGAGCTTCCAGAACACAACAGACGAGGGAGAAAAGCCTTGTGATCTACTTCTGAAAACAGCCAATGAAAACCCTGTTAAAATCTGCAACAGGTCATGGGAAGGTACAGGACCATTGCCTAGGCCATAAGGTCACCATGAGTCAGGGCTGCTTATGACAGCAATGTTGTTAAGTGCTGTCGAGTTGGTTCCAACCCATAGCGACTCTGTATAGGATTTCTGAAGAGCAGCTGGTGAGCTTGAATTGTCGATCTTGTGATTCAAACTGACTCTGCAGTCTTTGTTTCCTGAATCAGAGGCTCCCAGAGTCATGTTTATTTCCTGGCAAACCCAGTCTCACAATCATTTGTCAAGTGTTTGTCCATATGTTATCTACTGACATCCCACTGGCCAAATGAAGTCACATAGTCCAACATCACTGGGATGGATAAATAAAAGGGGTGTCTAGTTGAAAACAGTAAGGTCACATGGTAAAGTTCTAGGATACTGGGAGGGGCAAAGAATGGAGAACCATGAATTAATCAGTCAAATGAAGAGGCTCAATTTCCCTTTCCATTTATCTTAGAGTCCATTTCCAACCCTGTAAATTTTTCTTCTAAAGATTACAATTTTGTTTTGTCTTCCCTTCCTAAACCACCCTTATAGCTAAAACCAATTGCAACCAATCATTTTTCCAAGGGATAACAAAGAGATTACGGGAACAGAAAAAAAGAAAGAGGGAAAGAGTGATAGCAAGAGAAAGAGAAAAGAAGAGAAGAGAAAATTTGGAAGAATCATTTGTAGAGATAATTAAGAAGCCTCCAAACCTTCCTAGTCCTGAAAGTAGAACTTTGTTACTATATTCTAAAGAAAACCAAGACAAATGGCTAGTGACAGACACTATGGACACCACATACAAATCGTAATTCAGGCACATGTGATCAAAATAAAACAAGTTAACAATCTTTAAGGGATTCTTTGTAGCAGTGTCTTCCAAAGACAAGGAGACCAGGAGTCTTCAAAAAGAGAGCAAAGAACAAGGGTAGTATTTATCTGGTGCACTAGGTTATCCTTGGGGAGTTCAATAGTTCATTTAATATAGAAACTGTTCAACAAATATTTTTTGAATGATATGAAATATTTAATCAGATTTTCACTGGATTTTTTGAATCTTTTGACTAAAGTTTATAAACACTGGGTCTGGGAGGTCCTGGAGTTAGAGTACAAGGAGAACAAACATTTAAAGACAAAAAGTTTCTCTTTTTCATTCTTCCTTCCCATTATTTGTTTTTTAAAAATCAACTTTATGGAGATATAATCGACTTACAATAAAATGGACTCATTTTAAGGGAATTTTGTGTGAATTTTAAGTGTGTTCTATATATTTGCCAAATGTATAAAAACATAAACCATTACTACAATCATCATATGGAACGTTTCTATAACCAAAAAAACAGTTCCCTGGTGCCTTTCCTAGTTAATGTCTGCCCATTCCTTGCCACAGGCAATGAAGATTAGTTTGCCAATTCAGAAATTCATACAAATGGAATCATTACTATGCAGTCCATTGGGTCTGTTTTCTTTCACTCAGCATGAGTCAGCCACGGCTGTGTATCAGTAGACCATTCCGATGGTGGAGCAGAAAGCCTCATGTTTCTCCCATGGAACTGCTGGTAGTTTCGAACTTTTGACCTTGAGGTTAGCAGCCCAACTCATAACCACTATGCTACCAGAGCTCCTAGTCCATCCCTATAGATTTCTGAGAAGTATTACATTGTTAGTGTACACAACAATTTGTTTATACATTTACCTGTTGAGTGACATTTGGATGTTTCCAGTTTGGCTATTAAGAAGATATCTATGGATATTCCTGCATAAGTCTTTATGAACATCTCTTTGTTTTCCTTAGAGAAATACTTAGGAATAGAATTTCTGGGCTGCATGAAGAAAGTTTTAACTAGTTTGTAGAAAAATGGCATTCAGAGTAATGGATTTTTTTCCACAAACTTTTTGAAGCCTCCTCATGTGATAAGTAAATATTTAACTTTTAAAGAAACCGTTCTCTAAAGTGGCTATACTATTTTACACCTTCTGCAGCAATGGATGTAGCAGCAATACTGGTACAGTAAAGTGCTCAGCTGCTAAGTCAAAAGTCAATAGCAGAAAGCCACCAGCAACAGAGAGAGATGCGGCACTCGGCTTCTGTAAAAATTAATTTACAGCTTTGAAAACTCTGTGGGAAGAGCAAAGATGTCTGCTTGAGGACTAAGGTGCGCCTGACCCACGTCATGGTATTTTAAATAAAATCATATGCATGTGAAAGCTGGATAGTGAATAAGGAAGACCACAGAAGAATTGATATCTTTGAGTTATGGTGTTGGGGATCTGTTTGGAAGAAGTGCATCCATAGTGCTCCTTGGACGCCAAGATGGCCAAACTTCAGACTTTGGATATATTGCCAAGAGGGACCAGTCACTGGAATAGGGTATCATGTTTGGGAAGGTGGAGGGTCAGCGAAAAAGAAGACCCCCTACGAGATGGATTGTTCAAGTGGTAGCTTCAATGGATTCAAGGTGGCAACAGTAGTGAGGTTGGCCCACGATCGGGCAGTGTTTCGTTGTTATGCATAAGGTCGCTATGAGTCGGTACCGACTCGATGGCACCTAACAACGACAACATGAGTCACATTAAGGAGCTCTGGTAGCGTAGTGGTTACGAATTGGGCTGCGAACCTTAAGGTCAGCGGTTCCAAACTACCAGCTGCTCCACGGGAGAAAGATGAGGCTTTCTGCTCCGATAAAGATTTACAGCCTCGGAAACGCTATACAAGGTCGCTATGGGTTCGGAACCGACTCCACGCAAACCACCACCACCATGAGTCATATTATTTCCTCGCTGTGGACTGGTTGTGGGTTCTGGTGTCTAGCAGTAGATGAGTATTCCTGTTGCTTCACGTTCCCTCCAAAGTTGGCAATTTAAAAAATTTTAGCTTCCTGGTGGTTGTGTGTGTGTGTTAAGAAATATTTGTAGAACGACTACAGAAAAATATCCCTAGATCTGTGTTTTAAATGTTCAAATTTCGAAATCTCTATTCAGTCCCGTTTTCTCTGTCTTCTTTCTCCCCCTTCCGTCATTTACACAACACACACACACACACACACACACACACACACACACACACATACACACAGAGAGACAGAGAGAGAGAGAGAGAGAGAGAACTAGACTATCTTTGGGAAATCATTTATTCTCAGTATGAACTTTCAAAAACATGTTTCTCTTTTCTTTGCCTTTTAAGAGAGAGAGAGAGAGAGAACTAGACTATCTTTGGGAAATCATTTATTCTCAGTATGAACTTTCAAAAACATGTTTCTCTTTTCTTTGCCTTTTAAATTTCTTTGTGAAACATTTCCAACATTGTTATTGTTGTTAAGTGCTGTTGAGTAGGTTTCAACTCATAACGACCCTGTCTGTATAGGGTTTCAGAGGAGTGGCTGGTGGGTTTGAACCACCGACCTTCCGGTTCAAACCGATCTTGTGGTCCAGTACATTAGCCCACAGCGCCACACATCTAGCATAACATTCGTTATTTTAGCATTTTTTTAACGTGTACATTTCAATGGCACCTTAACAGTATGCCCAACTTTATCACCAGCACTCTGAGAGCTCTCTGGGGTGGCGAGGCTTCCCCAGAGAGTTCTTAACTCCAAGCCTCTCCAATGCTCTCTTCTTAGCTAATAAATAGTAACTGTCTCCTCAAAAAGCTGGTTTTGGGCCGGCGCTGGAGAGGTCCAGCTACAGGGGACGTTAGTGGCTGCTTGTTTCTCTGATTTTCCCGACGGCCTCTTTTCCTGCCCGGTTCACGCCCAAAGAGGTTACCAGGCTCCCCCTAGTTTCCGATAACCCCAAGCAATGTACTTACTGCTCAGGGGCACCCCTGACACCGCTGCAATCAGGGCACGGGGCATGCTCAGAGGGCGTGTGGGAGGCGCAGGCGTTGGCTGCAGTGGGGCCCAGAGGCCAGGAGATGCCGCTGCATCCCTGCTTCCAGGCGTCTGACCCAGCGCGCGAAGTTGGGCTGGGAGCTGCGGGGTGGGGGTGGGTGGGGGGGGGGGGGGGGGGAGGGGGGGGGGGGGGGGGGGACGGGGGGGGGGGGGGGGAAGGGGCGGGGGGGGTGCGCCGCGCGTGTGTCTCTCGCTCTCTCCCTCTGTGTTTAGAGGATGTGCTG